GTGGGGAGGGGGAAAGTAAGGTGCAGCTTGGCCTCAGCAGCCTGTCACATTGACTGTATTCATCTGCCCACACCCCTGTGCCCTGACCTGCCCACCCTACAGACAAAAACAGAATGCCTTATCTTGTGGAGACCTCAGCCCGTCGCTCCTGTCACTGTGAAACTCTTCTATGAGGCCCTGTGCCCTTCCCCCCGGTCCTTCATGTCAGTGGTGCTCTTTCCTTCTTGGGCTTTGCTGGGCAATGACGTTCTGGATGTAGTCCTTGTGCCTTTTGGCAATGCTGAGGTGAGCGGTCCAGCTCTGCCTGGGGCGGGGCTGGGGGTGGGAGTGGGTGGCAGCGGTGGGGAATTTGTCAGGAGCCTTCTGCCTCCTGCTTCATGTCTGGGGTGTGTGTATGTTTCAGGAGAGACTTGTGAATGGGACCTGGGAGTTTACCTGTCAACATGGGAAGCTGGAGTGTAAACTCAACATGATTCAGGTAAAAACTCTTCTGCCCCAAGCCTCTCCTGGAGGTGTTGTGTGACTGTGGGCAGTCCACTTAACCTCTGGGCTCCTTTTTGCTCTCCTGGTGCATTAAGGGAAGGCAGGGTGTATAGCATTTCCCCAGGGAAAGAGGATTCTGGCTTTCTACCCCTCAGTCTTAGTCTCTGCTCCTACAGACCTGTTTGACTCACATCGTTGGGAAATAGGCACTGCTGTGATCAACTGCATGATGTCAGCTGCTCATCCAGAAACCTCACTAGAGTCGGTAAGTGCCTGCCTGGTCTAGGCAGGGGGGAGAGAGAAGGGAAGAGAGGAGATCCCTTCCAGCCCCGCTTTGTCTCTGCCCTGGGCCTACAGCTGGACAGATGGCTCCCTGAGCCCTGAGGCGGCACTTCGTTCTCCTGAGTTCACCTAAAAGACATTAAGAACTTGCTAGGGCAGGAATGGTTGTAAGATCTTGGAAAAGTGACTGCTGTTTCTTTCAGCCTTGATTTCCCTATGAGTAAAGTAGGGAGAGTGGAAAGGTAGTTGCCAGGATCAAGTAAAAGTCACTGATATGGCAAGTGCCAAGACCACTAGGAAGTATTGGTAATAGATGGGATGAAAGAAGTGATGGAAGGCATTTGTTCATTGTTCACAACAGCTCGGGAGGGAGATTGTGCAGGAATTTCTCTTGATGTGTTATTTTTTTAACTGAATCATCTTTTCGATGAAGAGAAAATTATCCTTTCTATCTCATACCTATGATACCCTCTACATCAGCTGGGAAAAAAACAACAACCCTAGAACAAATATACATAATTAAGGAAAAGAAATTGCTGAATTGGCCAACTGTACCAGTTAGGAGGTAGGCAGCATTCTTCTTCATCCTTAGTCCTCTCAAATCAGCAGACTATTTTTATAGTTGGGATAACAGAAGCTCAGAAAAAAGAAGGGATTTGTCCAAGGTCCCACAGCTAGTCAGAATCAGAGGGCAATGACAAAGTCCCATGAACCTTCTGAAACTCTGTGGAAGCCAATGGGTTGCTGGGCAGCTTCCCCATATGTACACACTTTTCAACCCAGAGCAATGACTTAGTTCATGGAAGGTCAATTCTTCCTGAATTTCAGAGACAGTGGGTACATTTCAGAGATTTGGAGTCAGAGGAGGGAGTGGTGGCTGGAGGGAGGGGTGAGACAATCCTGGCTTACCTTCTTCTGGTGCTCTCTTTTCTATGGGAGATGAAATTCATTCTAGTTGTAGGCTTGTGTAAGGGGAAGAGAGGGAGCCAAACCCACTCTGATAACTACTGAGAGAGGTAAGGTAGGACCCGATAGAAAAGATTTGTCCCATTTTCAGGGAGAAGGCTTCCTGGGTTTTCAGCTCCCCTCTCCCTTTCCCCCACTGCTTCAGTGACAGAGATAAGGTTGACCCAGTGGCTCTGAGGGAAGAAAGGTGGGGTAATGGTGATGGGTTCAGGTTCCCCTCCAAATAATACCTCCTTCACCTCTTTGCACAGTGTCTGAAGATCTACATCCCACAAATTTGTGTGGATGACATCATGAAATGTGCAACAGGACATCAAGGCAAAGAGATGATGCATCAGAATGCCATGATGACAAATCATCTTTCCCCTCCACATACATACACCCCTTGGATTCTGGTTGAAGAAGTAAGAGCTGTACCCTATCCCCACCTCACCTACTCTCTTCCATTAACTTG